AAATAACACCACGGCCTAGCAATGACGACTAATTGTAACCACCATATCCACGCAGAGTGCACGTGACTAAACCGGGACGAGTGAGGGAGGGGAGGGGAAGGGCGATGGGGTGAGATTAGTAATGAGGATGCCTAGGAGGAAGTGAAGAATTACTCTATATTGAGACTGATGTGAATGCTGATCCTGGGATGGATAAAGGTACAGAGAAAGAGAAAATGACCAAGAGTCAATGGTAATGTGTATGTGTATGTCTCAGAGAGGAGGATGGAGGGAGGGAGGGAGGGAGGGAGGGAGGGAGGGAGAGAGAGAGAGAGAGAGAGAGAGAGAGAGAGAGAGAGAGAGAGAGAGAGAGAGAGAGAGAGAGAGAGAGAGAGAGAGAGAGAGAGAGAGAGAGAGAGAGAGAGAGAAGAGAGAGAGAGAGAGAGAGAGAGAGAGAGAGAGAGAGAGAGAGAGAGAGAGAGAGAGAGAGAGAGAGAGAGAGAGAGAGAGAGAGAGAGAGAGAGAGAGAGAGAGGGGGGGGGGGGAAGAAACAGAAAAAAATAGAGGAGGATACAGAAGGAGAGAGAGACGGGGAGAGAAGGATTCAGAAAGAGAAGAAAAAAAAATAGAAAAGAGAAGTGCGTAAGAAGATAAAGTGGTTTGAGTGGACGGTGTGGATTCCCGGTACTCAGTCTCAGGCCGTCAGACTTTTCTCAGCCGGCGAATCTGGCATCTTAGTTGACGTCGTCTAGTCGTGTGATGACGTCATAAGAGTGCTACATCTCGCCGGCGATTTTATTTACAAACTATTATTCCAAAACTTGAAATGCGTTTTGCACATTCTGTTTTATTTTGTTTTACATGTTAAACACAAGTTATTACATACACAAAAAAGTGTAAAGTTCACACGAATGACTACCGTTCTAGAAAATATTCATGCACTAGGTCTTCGTCTTGGGGGAAAACCGCGCGTAGTGACCTGTAACTCAGACTGTATCATCTATTTATTAGTGCAGTTACACTACCATATACCCATCTCCATGTAAAATATGCATGCCCGTCATACTGGAGTCATTTTTATAGGAAGCGATACCCGTTCGCACCTGTTCCAGAAGGGGGTGGGTCCGTAAGAAAAGTCAACACGCGAAACCAGTCTAGAGGCTTCTGGAAATAGAATACTGTGACTGAGAAGATGGCGAGAGAGAAAGAGAAAGAGGAAGAAAAGAGGGTGGAGGGAATGGAGAGGGGGTTTACCCAATGGCGGGAGGCGTAAAACCGTAGCGGTCTACGTATACCCCCGTCTCTCTCTCTCTCTCTCTCTCTCTCTCTCTCTCTCTCTCTCTCTCTCTCTCTCTCTCTCTCTCTCTCTCTCTCTCTCTCTCTCTCTCTCTCTCTCTCTCTCCCCATGCTTCTTCTTCTTCTTCTTCCTACCCCTTCCTTCTCCTCCTCCGTCCCTCCACCTCTCTTCCTCACCCCCATCGTCACCAAGCCGTACCATCTTGTTAATGTCACGACGGGAGCGCACGGAGAGACTCCCCCGCCCTCCTTCCGCCGGTCAACCCCCAACCCCTTCCTCGAGAGAGCGTGGCAGGCGCTGGACATTGTGTTTTGATAACTCCCAGACAATGGGCTCGTATGGCTGCAGTCTAAGTGATGAGAGAGGGAAGACAATCCCACATTTGCACATGATAACAAATTGTGTAGGAGACCATGGTAGCTGGGTGTTTCTTCTTTCTATTGCGTGCAGTTTTTTACCGGCTTGCCTTATTTTTAGACATGATTAAGCCATTATCTCTGCGATATGTTCACAATCATTAGACAGATAGTGAACTGAATGACATACATCGTTACATGAATTAACGTTACTAAATATGAAATCACCCAAGATCATAAATTTTACTTAGGAGACTGAAATCAGAGACTGAAACCAAGCCTCACACTAAACGGCAAAGCATGAACGTTGAATGCATGAGGGTCGGGTCAAGGAATACTAGCTGGCACACTTGGCTTGCTTGGCTAGACTATTTATTTATAAAGGTTGGGACGAAGATTGGCCTGATAACGCAGGCCGAAGGGAGAGGAGGAAGAGAGAGAGGAAGAGAATGGAAGTGAAAGAGTGGGAGACAGGAAGAGAGAGGGGGGAACAGAGAGAGACAAGAGAGAGAGAGAGAGAGAGAGAGAGAGAGAGAGAGAGAGAGAGAGAGAGAGAGAGAGAGAGAGAGAGAGAGAGAGAGAGAGAGAGAGAGAGAGAGAGAGAGAGAGAGAGAGAGAGAGAGAGAGAGAGAGAGAGAGAGAGAGAGAGAGAGAGAGGAGTCAAAGGGAGAGAAACGAGTAGAGTAAAAGAGAGGGAGAAAAGAGAGTGAAACAGAGGGAGAGAGGCAGGCAGGAAGGTAAGGAGAATAAAAAAGGAAGAGAGGAAGAAAAGGAGAATGAACAGGAGGAAGAAAAGGAGAATTAACAGGAGGAAGAGGATATATACAGATAGATAGATAGATAGAGAGAATGAGACAGACAGACAAAC